TGCAAGACCGCATCATTTACATTTATATATGAATACATATAAATGCTGTAACAGATGGTTAAATTACTAAATAGAAACAAAGAGAGAGAGAAACTTGGAAGTTCAAAGTGCAGAAGCCTTCAGAGAAGGGAACAACTGACGAGGACAAAGGCACGAACACAGCCAGACTTGGAAGGAGATCAGACACCAGGAGATTAATTAATTGTCTGGAAAAAACAAACCCTGTGGCAAGCCAGGGGTGGTCAAATCCATGAACCAGAAGTTAAAAAGGTCAGCGCGAACCAAGGGGAAAGCAGGGAGAGCTGTGGAGGGGGTTAACAGCGAGAAGGAGCCGCAGCCGCTCCCAGCTGGCCAGCAGCATCCCCAGCCGTGGATCCGGCTGCTGCGGCGCCAGACTATGCGAGAGATCCCCCTGCGACGGGCGGCACGTGTGTACCCGCAATGCGCCCGTCAGCTCACCTGTAGCGGGCTTCGTATCACGCGAATCCATTCGGATGACACAGGCGGTGCATGCCTGATGACGTCTTTAGAGTTTACTCCACCTACACCTAAATTCAGGAAACAGAAAAAAAGAACGCTCTAATAAAGCTGTTGTCTTCCTTTCCTTTCCTCTCCGGTAATTGCATTTTCAGCCATCCACAATCTGGTCTTAAAGGGCGTTCTTTTATAGTTTTACCTGATTTCCACATAAAGCAGTGGAGAATTAATGCCTGCAACATTGTCCTAAACCCCAGGCAACATTGATTTTGGGGAGGAGAGATACATCCCTCCCTTAGCGGTTAGCGCAATTGCATTTTGACTGTTGTGATTGTTCATTTTTGCCCTATTATGCCCTCGTAGTTCCCAAAACTCCAACCAGCCCTGCAGATCCACTGTGCGTATAACCGTGAGCTGAAACATTCATTTGTTTTTCTAACTCTCCTGCGTTTACAGGTGACAGGTTTCGTGCTGGATTCTGGCCAAATTAATGAGGATAACTCAAAGGGGCTCCTGCAGCCTTGAAGGAGGCAGCTCCGTCCCAGCTCTGGGCAGGAGAGGCGGCCGTGCACTCCCGCTGGAGCCTGTCCTGCGCAATTCCCATCCTTCCCAAGGCCGATGGCCGGGAGGGGAAGGGAAGGGTGGCTCTAACCAAAGGGAGCGTTTCCCAAGCCTTGCTTCTGGCACCCGTGGAAAAGAGACTACAAACTCTGGGTCTGAAGCAGACACCAGTTCTCCAAAAGTCACCACTGCTCGTCTCTGCTGCCCGTGGCTGACATGGGGCGGAACGACCCCTCTCCATCTGTTCCAAGCCACACTCCGTGTCCCACGGCTGGTTGTTCTTCAGCTTCTTCTCTGCCTCTGCCACAAGCACAGAGGTCAAACTTGACCTCTGCAGAGCATGAATGTGCACAACAAGTGCTCAATGACATCCAGCTCTGGAGTCCTCAACGTAAGAAAGACATGGACCTGCTGGAGCGTGTCCAGAGGAGAGCCACGAGGATGATCCGAGGGCTGGAGCACCTCTCCTATGAGGAGAGGCTGAGAGAGTTGGGGCTGTTCAGCCTGGAGAAGAGAAGGCTCCGGGGAGATCTTATTGCGGCCTTCCAGTACCTAAAGGGGGCCTACAGGAGAGCTAGGGAAGGAATTTTTACTAGGGCATGTAGTGACAGGACGAGGGAGAATGGCTTTAAACTGGAAGAGGGCAGGGTTAGATTAAACATTAGGAAGAAGTTTTTCACTTTGAGGGTGGTGAGGCACTGGCACAGGTTGCCCAGAGAGGTTGTTGAGGCCCCATCCCTGGAGGTGTTCAAGGCCAGGCTGGACGTGGCCTTGGGCAACCTGGTCTAGTGGGAGGTGTCCCTGCCCATGGCAAGGGGGTTGGAACTCGATGATCTTCAAGGTCCTTTCCAACCTAAACCATTCTATGATTCTATGACGTGGTCAAAATCCCACCTTTTTTAAAAAAATCTGTCATTTTCAGATTCTGAAATGGAAGCATTTTATTTAAGAAATGCTCAAAGTTGAGAAATAAAATCATCAGCCATTTTTGAAAATGTAACCTGAAATACACGTTGCTGATTTTGTTCCATGCAAATACCATGACTGAAATCAAACAGTCCATTTAGTCAAATAGTAGAAGGATACGTGGAGGGAGCAACTTGGCAGCTTTCATCTCTCCACGCGCTGGGGACGTAAGGCTCAGCGACACCCCACTCTGGGCATCGTTTTTGGACACAAGGGGGCACACTTCATTTTCCCAGAGAAGCAGGACACAAGGGTGCAATCAGTCCTTGTTATGTACATCATGGTAGGAGCAAACAAAGCCCTGTGGAGGAATAGGCATTCCCTGGAAGTCTTTAAACCACTGTATCCCATGAAAGAAAGAATGCGGAACAGTATTGACTCAGAGAACTTCTGGAATATACTGGCTTTAAAGTGATGTGATGTGTCCTCAGACCCTGCTCTAGTGAGATCCACTAGACCCCGTCCAATTAATCTACCTTCATCATAAAATTCATATTGGTGTGTTTTGACAACAAAATCTCTCGGCCATCAAAACCCACTACAATTCCTCCAGTCAGTGCGTGAACGGTGGCGTGATTCTGAGCTGGATGGACATCACTGCGAGGTCCTTTTTGGTAGCACCCTTCTGTGCCCTCCTCACAGAACAGGAATTTGTGGCTGTTGAGACTAACTTAGCGTCTTTGTCAAGGTTTGCACAAATGTCTCTATGGCCAAAAAAGGTTAAAACGTAGAATACAAGAGCCACGTACTGTAATAAATGGTAGATTCATAATACTCACTGTTTTTTGAGCTCAGCATTTGTTTATTCAGTTTCATTTATTTACTTATAATTTAGAATCAGAATATAATGGGATTCATGCCAAAGCAGAAATCAGTTCATTAGCATGTTTTATGTGGCAGAAAGATAAATTATATCTTCTGAAGCAAAACACAGTTCAACAAAATGTAGATTCCTACAGAGAGTACAGCGTCTATATGCAGTTAATTCTCTCTTTAAATGGCAGGTAACTATAACAACCCGTTAGGTTAATTTTCCTTGGACTCCTTCAGGTGAGGCTATATAGCATAACTCACCTTTTCATATTTGTCACTGCTGGCTGAGAATTGTGGCGTGGTAATTCAGGGAGAGTATTGTGAAAAAAAACTCTCTGAAATTAAGACAAATTGAGTTGAACAGAATTGTTGCAGCCGGTGACAAAAAATTACCTCAAGCTTCTTTAAATGTCAGTTGCTTTGAATTGGCACAAACTTGCCTCCACAGCCTCGTCTTATATTGAACACCAGAGCTCTCCTCTGTCGTGGTCTGGGTGAGAACGCCTAGTTTCCCAGATCTTTCGCTGTCCTAAAAATCTGCCTTCATTTCACAGCTTCGTAGTCCAAACCTACACTTGCGAAAGCCGCCGTGATACAAGGATTTAAACAGAAACGCTGCCACCGAGCAGCAAATTAGAGAGTATTCTGCTTTTCCTCTCCATCTTCTGACCAACAACAGACTTCCCCAGTGTTTTTGAGATTGCTTTGTATGACATCTCTTTTCCCTCTTCTGTCCCAGACCCACGGGACTGCCAGGCTCCCGTCACCGTGTCACCGGGTAATCAGGTAACCGCTCTTTTAGCCAGAGGATTCGGCATGCGGGAGGATTCCCCGCGTTCCCTGTTCCACTGCTCAGGAGCCGAATGGTATGGGGCAACACAGCAGCAGAATATTTTGAGAAAGGGGTGAAAATGGTTCGAATCCTTCTGAAAGCCAATGTAAGTACTTCAGACGAAGTAAGGTCAAGGGACCTGAACAGGAGATCCAGTTTTAAGGAATAAAATGGCAAGATGGACACCGTCACATCGCACCGGATGTGATCGACAAAAGAGCGGCTATGTCTCCACCGACTAGCGCAAAGGAAACACAAGCTCTCTGAGGCGCCATGGGTTTTTGGAGGATGTGTACCCCAGAGGACAGTCTGATTGTGAGCCCTCGATGTCAAGTGACCCCGGAGAAGAACGATTCTAACTGGGGCTCTGGGCGACGAGAAGCCTGCGAACAAATCAAATGGGAGATGGTGCACGCTGTAGCCCTGGGGACAGTCCGGGCAGGACAAGATGTTAAAAACGTGCTGCACGCTGCAGCCGGGGAGAACGGCCCAGCCGGGAGCCTCTGGCTGAAAGCACCAGGGGAGGCTCGAGGTCGACCCCGGGGGTTTTGGAGTTCGGGGTACAGAGGATGGGGACTCCGCTGTCAACAGCTGAAAAAGAGATATCGGCAGCGGATGAAGGGGTTCGAGCTGCTTTGGAAGCGGTCGGTACAGATGCAGAGCTCCTCCTGCACCTCGAGCGCCAGTGCTGGGTGGGTGCTCAAAGAAAGGGTCCCCACCACACATCACACAACTGATGCTCTCTGGAGCAAGTGGGTCGCACTGATCACGCAGCGGGCTCACGCGGGAAACCCCAGTCACCCAGGAGCTCTGGGAGGGATCACGGACTGCCCGGAAGGCAACGATTTCAGACTATGGCCGGAGGAGGAGGTGACACGTGCAGAAGGGGCCCCACCGCTGCCCTAAATGAGGGTTCTTCACCCGGTGCACGAGAGCCCATCAACCTGCGGAGGAGAGACATTTTTATTTCAGTTCTGCAGATTGATTGGGGTGCTGGGCGCTTAACAACAGCCAGCACACCACTCCTTTCCAGCCCCCCAATATTTATAATGACAAAATACAGCCGATGGGTCGATCATGGCTCATTCACCGCTCCGAACTACACACACGCATCTAAGGTCATGCTTACACCACTTGGGGAGGTTACCTGATTTGCACGCTCGTTACTCACAAAGGGGGTGTCTTTGAGCATTATAATTACCCAGGTCGGTTTGGGATACACTCTTGGCTCCAATTTGGCCCAGGAGTTGTATTTCGGTCCCTCGTGCCTCAGTCAGCAATGCAAAAAACCACACAAGGCACAGTGTTGTCTCACTCCCTGTTCAAGGTCAGGGACGTTCCCGGCGGGACCATGTCCCACACCAAACTTCTCGATAAACCTTTAACTTCGTTCTTCAGACGTGTGCACCGGGACCCTGCGCCCCCCTGCCTGTGCAAGGGTGAGCGCGCACCGGGACCCTTCACACCCCGCGGCACTCCGCACCTCGGTGCACAGGGGCGGCCGCGCAGCAGCG